CTTTTTGTTATACAGTAATGTGAAATTGTGCAATTTGTGTTCATCTAGTGTGCATTGAATGTACATTTATAGATATGTACCATCATAATCAACGACACACAGAAAACAACAGAATGGTGGACTCACGCCACCTTGACCTTTTGGATGGTTTGTAATAACATTTAAACAGCTGGCGGGCAACAGATGCTTTTTTTTTGGTGGGTGCTGTGTTTGGATAAGCTGAAGCTGCCACATTGATCTGCCTATGGTGACCCCGGCTGATTGTCTCGGCGGGCTTTCCGTGATGCATTCTAATCACAGCACTATTGTTGCTTTTGTGCAAAGGTTGTGGAGTCACATTAGTCCTTCTGCTGCTTCAGCATAACTGTCCTTTGCCAAGGCACATAGGTTGTTAGAGGAAAGAATTATAGTTGTAGGACATGGCAAAGGCTGCTCTGAATTTGAGAGGTGAATTTGTAGGTGGGAAATGTTTTAATTTCCTTGTCATGTTTCAGAAAGCCTGTGTGAAGTGTTCAGACACTCCAGGCACACTTCGGAAAGTCTCCATCTCATTTAATTATATAAATGTCAAAACAAACACAGACATGGAGCACAGACAGTTTTTTTTTAGATGTGATAATATAATGACACCACTTTTCCCCGCAGGTATACCCATCTAAATTATAGATTAATTGACATGTTTCAGTTATTTGAGATAATCGTGGTAATTGTGCAGTGTGAATTTCAAAGAAGGGAAAGTTGAGCACATAAACAAATGGTAATTAAGCATTCAGTTGCATAATGGTAAAAAAACAAAACAAAACAAAAAAAAATTCATTGTTAAAAATTATTAAAGCTATTCTTGGTTCAAAGAGTTTTACACAAATTTAATGACAGAGGACATTGGGCATTAATTTTGTTTCTGCACAGAAACTATAATATAATAGAAACTAGGGATGCCACAGTTCTCAATATAATATTGAACCATTAAATACAACCTCCACCGTTCAATACGCGCTTGTGAATTGCTGTTTTCTCGGTTTTGCGTTTAAATTATTTATGTGCGTTTTATATCTCCCCGAATTGACTGTGTGTGACTGTAAGTCCATGAGCTGAGATACGGAAACTCGTAAATATCCGAGTAAATATCCAATCACTATGCTCCAAAGTTAGGGGGCGCTTGACATTGCACTGAAAGGCACGCACAACTCTTACCATGAAATGTTGTCTACTGTGTGCGCCCGGACAGAGGCAAGCGCGTTGCTCCGCTTGTGCGCGCATAAATGAATTCTTACATTAGAAATAACAAACTTGCAAGCGGAAAAGACATGATATGGGAATGGCCGCTGCTATAGTTAATCTGGTGTGCGTGCGTATAAGCCTCGGTGTACATACTTGGAACTTTAAACTAGTGCACAGTTGGCCACTTGCCATAACTTTTCCGTGCAACAGAAATGTGGCTTAGAGAAGCCTTTATGATTAATTAACTGTGACAAATTAAAGCGCAGTTAATAGTGAAATCAGCTAATCCTTGCATCCCTATTAATGATTGCAGTGCATTGTACAAAAGGCATTTTCTACAAAACATCCAAATGTTTTCGGCTGTCCACACCACTCGCTTTTGGTGACTCACGCCCTGCGCAGCCTCTGCAGCTCATACTGAATTGAACAGACGCACAACACTTCATAGCTATAGCGGCCGTTTTTCGACTGAACTAAATTTATTTCTATGTCTTGGTCATACTATTTGGAGGGCCAGAACAAATTGCTTCAGCGGCTGGGTTCGGCCCGCGAACCGCCAATTGAATAGCCCTGGACTACAGTCTCGCATTTTTTCAGCACGAAGATAATTAAGATGGTTTATTTATGTTAACTTAAGTACAAATAGGCTATGTTTTTTTTTTTAAATGGCCAATTTATCTTTATTAACTTCACATGTATGTTTATTTTCAAAATGTAGGATTTTATGTGTTCCCCAGTATGTGCATGGGCTACCAGCAGCTGTGAGATTTCAGTGTTCATTTTTTTATATATACAATAAACTAGGAACTAGTGTATTTTTCTTGGCTTTTAAGTAAAACAAAATGAGTATTGCAATAAATCGTTTTTATTTTTTTACTCCTTAACCTCTCACTGTTCCTGTTGCCTATAGAATTAAAAAATTCTATAGGCAACAAGCCATGTCGTGTCAAGCCATGAAAACCGAACCGAACCGAAAACCGTGTTAAAAAAACCGAGATATGTATTGAACCGTAAGCTAACTGTGTTGTTGCAACCCTAAAAGTCACTATTTTTTTGTAATTTTGTTGAGTGTTATATATATATTTATATATTTATATAAATTATATATTTATACAAATATTTATATATTTATTTATTTATATATAAGTGTAACTATCAATAAAAACTTCAATAGTTGCTACTTTTTCTAAAATAATGTTCTTTTATATTGTAGTAATAGTTGAATTGATCACAAATATTAACATCAGTATTTTGGTATTGATATTAATATTGACATTTTAGCCTCTCGTAGGGCACCAAATAAAATGTAGTGATCATTTCTATGATTTTACTCAAATAGTAAAATTAAGAATATTTATATTAATATCGAAATTTTGGTCACTCCACTTGTAAGGTGCATAAAAAACAGATAAATAACTCCTTTCATATGGGGCATCAGACAGCTTTGATTGTGAAAATAATAATTAAAAATAAAATATTGTTAATTAAAATATACAAATGTAAAGGTGTTTATAATCTGGCCAAATCTGAAGGATAATGAGATCATCATACTTTTAGAGCCTTGAGGCTGGCTCACACGGTGTGCGTTTTTTTTTTTTTTAATAAACCTGAACGATTGTAGCATGTCAGACTGCATGAGCATGTCACACTGTGAGATCTCAGCTGTCAGAAAATCAGACTGAACGTCAATGAAGATACGCCAAACACAAAATAAAATGCCCCAGAGTTTGACGTCATCCACCTGTGACATTTTCACTATCCCTGTTCTGAAATGATTCCTCATAGCAAACGTAAACAATCAGTAGCAGTAATTTTGCACACAGCTTGTCTAAATAAAACCAGGAATAAAAAGAAGAAAAAATAACTGTTTTGACATTTCTCAGTGGTCATATCAATTGTCACAAGGATTGCATCATTGGATTCTGCGCTCCTATTGGTTCTTGGATTGACGCTAATCGCAGTTGTTGTCACACTGCAGGAAAGTGCCTGAAATCTTCTGACACTGCCAGAACTTCATCGGCGAAAAAATCTGATTGTAACGGGCATTAAGCGGCTGTCTGTGAACATGTCAAACCAATGATCAAATATCACAGATTTTAGCCTAGGATTTCAGGAATCTTTTAGGATTTCCCAAATTTGTCTCAGATGCCAATATCGTGGCTGAAATCTCACAGTGTGAGCAGGGCTTTATATTGTATCAGCACGAGGAAGACACAATTGCAATGAACAATTATTAACAAAAGAATCAACAAGTGTAACTAAAATGACTAAATCTACCGTAAATGAAGTGCATAGGCATGAATCATGAAGATGGTTAGATTAGGTTGAGAATTGTGATTTATAGCTCTTTTTATATTTTCTAAAGAAAAGCTAGAGTCTGATAAGGTAAACCTTATTCTAAAATAACAAACAACTGAGGAAGTTTTGTTATTAACGGATATTAGTTATCAACATCTCATTAATTAGAAAATCTTTTACTGAAACGCACTATGCCAAGGTCTCTTTTAGAGAGTTGGAAAGTAGCATATTTACGCTTCTGCTGTTGATACAGTGGTTAGAAGAAGCTGGATCTTCTTGCAGGTCTTGATGCATGGAACAAGCAGATGTAGCTCTCTTGAGAGAAGAGCTTTGAGAAGATAAAATCTGGAGATTCTGAAACATGAAGGATTTCTGGAGGTGGTGGTTCTGATGTCGAGGACACTTTGATGTCTTAATTCTTGAAAGTAGAGGTCAGTGAAATCTGAGACATGCAGATTTCTGGAGGTGGTAGTCCTGAAGCATTGGTTTCAGACGCCTTGGAAAAAGCACTCCGAATCCAATCACCATCCAAACTCCTTGCTGGAACACGCAGCAAAGTTCTGAAATCTTTGAGCAATTTGGATAGCCTGGAACATTCTGAAAATCCCTTTGTTATATATTCAGGGGTGTAACGCTTGCATTGAAAACCACAAAAATTGTGCACCACCGCTACTACCTTGTGTATCACCACTACACACGGTGTATATCACCACGCATGTGTACAACCACCACACAAAGTGTATCACCCCTCTCTTCCCTGTGTAAAAGAAATGTTTTATCCTTTCTCTGGAAGGCGGAATTGAAAAGATGGTACCTTTCAAATCCAGCATTGTGATTGGATGATCTTGTGGGGTGGTCACTGGAGGGTGTAATCCATAGTGTGACCGGCATTTGCAAAGTCATAGTCCACTTAAATATTTTCCTATGCATAATTCACTTTCCAAACCACTTCTAGTATGCCCAGGGCATTGTTCTGAATATTTAAAGTCTAAACATCACTATGTAATGTTGATCTTTACGTAAACATTCATAAAATAAGCAAAATTTCATACAGTGGAGTATTAAAAACAATGCATATTAAATATATACATGATTATTTGAATCTAAATGTAGTGAAATATTCCCTTTTGTGTCTCTTAACTGTTAAACATAATTTGGGAAATATTTGAAAAAGAAAAGGGAAAATAACTGGAAGGCAAATAATTTTGTATGTTGACAGTTTGGGCTTCGTATCGTATTTGTTGGCCAGAAAATTTAGATTTATATCAAGATGTTTTAGTCTAGAAAATAAAAATACGTATAAATACATTTAGATGACTTACTTTAGTCATTACTTTTGGAATGTGAGCAGGCTTTCAACCAGAACAAAAAATGTTTCTGTAATCATCACCTATTGCACCTTTAAGCATTTTTATGAGATATTTCAAATTGCACATAATAATAGCTGGATGGAAACATAGCTAATCTCTTATTCTCCGCAGGTAAATCTGGTGCTGGACGACGGCCGCTCTCTGGGTCTGATGATCCGCGGAGGAGCTGAATACTCTCTGGGTATCTACATTACAGGTGTGGACAGAGGCTCTGCAGCGGAGTGTGGAGGGATTAAGGTACAGTCTTTCACTCACTTGCTTTTCATTTTTATTGATTTTGGATTAATTTGTCTTATTGTGATCTCTAACTATCTTGCTGTTTAGTGTATGTCACACTCCATTTCATCTGTTTGTTGTTCCACAACTCTTTGAAATGTTAATTTAGATTTTTTCTTTCTAAACATTTAGGGTTTTCTTTGTCACTTTCGGTCTTTTGTGTCAGGGTTTGCTACATTGGAAAGCCCATGAGGAAAACAGCTTAGTTCACAGACTACATAATGTCTTCATGAAAATGCAAAGGTTTTCTGTGAGTTTGCTTTTGATTTACGAGGTTGGTGGTTAGACTATAGCATTAGCTCAGTGTAAAAAAAGTCAATAGAAAGTTTGTCTTCATTCGTTTCCAGAAGGCAAATTGGTTGCAGCATAAAAGCATCTCACACATAATACACAAAAAACACATTTTACCATACAAATCTACCCTAAATTAAAAACTTTACAGGGATAAATGAAAGTTTGAACCGATTTGTTTTAGTAATAGGAGTTCTGTATCAAATGTTAATATATTGAATATTAATTGTTTAATGTTCAATCGATTGTAAAAAAAATATCAAATTAACCATTAAATTAACCATATTCAATTTGTGTTGGCACAACATGACGGAATTGTGTGGAACCCAGTGTTTTTTAAAGTGCAAGAAGTCAACAAGCTTTGTTTACACTTGAGTCCACCATGTTCATCACTACATGTTGTCTTTGTGTTATGTTTTAGCAGTGTATTTAAAAATGATGTTTTTTGTTCTGTCGACCATTCAAGTACAGATTCTCTGTAAACCAATAGCATACACAAAAAACAATACCCTTACAAACTAATCCCAAAAAGTGTTATGGTATGATTCATTATTTTGATGCTTTCAAAAGTTGGCATACCAACAGTGCTTAGTTTGGATGTCTCCCTAATCCTGACCCATTAACTTCAGGTTTTGAAGTCTCTTCTACTGTTCTGATGAGTTGACAGACAAATGCACAGATCAATAAAGCCATCCATTCCCAAAAGGCCCCCTGAGATGCATCTAAGACCAGCGGCTCTACCTTCAATACGTGTCGCCCCATATACACTAACCTGTCTGAAAAGAGGCATAAATTGGTATTGACAACGAATCCTTTTTGTTCAAAGCTGGAGCAGGAGGAGGAAGTGATACATCTTGGAATTAGTAAACTTCATGAATATTAATGTGGCATTTCGTTCAACTGAGAAAGCCAGAATTTCCAGCCTGCATGTGATTTCCAATTTGAAGACTTTCAAATCAGAAGTCACAAACAAACTTTGCCAATGTGTGGTGATTGGTGGCTTGTTGCAAAGCAGTGACATTAACATACCAAAATACTTGATGCTAAAATACTTTGCATCTGGTTTTTGCGAAGATATTTGATGATTTAAACACAGTTCCTTTGAAAATAATACTACATTTGGACATTTTTTTTGAGAAACTGAGGAAGGAATTGTGCCAAAACGTTTGTGTCTTTAAATCACCCGAAGAATGTAAGAAGAAAAAATAAAAACAATACGAGGCAATTACTTGTTGAGTGCGAATCATTACCTTTTTGGATTATAGCATTGACAAGATTGACGTACCAAAGAAGCAAGCATGCAGGGCAAAGTTCAACAACTCTTTGGTTGTTACCAACATCCAGGAAAAAGTCAACTGCACTTTTAGTAAATATATTTTTTATATTAAGATGTTTATTAGTAGTCATAAAGTATGATCTTATTCGGCATCCCTCATCCTACCCAAAAACTAGACCCAACTTCTACCTCACTAACTATTAGTAAACAGCTAATTAGTAGGTTAATAAACTAGTAGTGTTAGTAAATGGTTTGTTAATACTGTGAATTGTGACCTAAAGTGATAATTTGTTTTGTTTTTAAAACAATAAAAATATTATTGTATGGTTTACCTTATTTTGCTTTTTAATTATTAGTGTTCATCATTCCCTTTTTGATTAATTTCTAAACCATGAACTGTAAATTCATTCAATTGAATTTTATTATATCTTTAATTTGATAGTTTAAACAAAGGAGTCTAAACCTCCTGTATACTTTGCATTAAAAAGTTCATCCAGTGAATCATTTTATTGATGGTTTTCACATAATTTTGAAGCAAAAACTCTAGGCTACAAGGTTCAGTACTCAAAAGTACGGTGGCCGGGAAGTGCAAAACAACATTACAAGTGTGAAACACTTTTACAAAGCTCGAAAACAAATTTTCCCCGCGTCACTCCCGGTGTGGTACATTCACGTCACTTCCGGTGTGTGGTACATGCCCTTTCCGTAGGGAATCTGTAATTGTAAATTTGTTTCGGGATTTGTAAGTGTTTTGCATCTTGTTAATTTTTTTTCTAAAATGTAAATTTGTTTTGTCCTTGGTAAAATTGTTTTTCCTATGTAATTGTGTCTGATGATAAGTGAAAATGTTTTTCAAAATGTAAGTTTGTCTTGAGCATTGTAAAAGTGTTTCACACTTTGTAATGTTGTTTTGCACTTCCCAGCCACCGTACAAAAGTCTTGTAAACAAAATGTCTTGTGTGTTTTTCATGGAGTTATTTTAAAGACTTCAGAATGTTTGTTTTTCACTAACCAAAAATACAATCTTGTACATAAATGTTGCTAACTTATTATTGTAGCCCAGTTTGTGATCTTTACAGTGGTATTAGACTTTAGCTATAGTGTATATGTGTATCTGAAAAAAAGCACAAATGTCAGGGCAAGTCAGAATTTCTCCAGTCCCACAAAATACCCTCAGATCCTAGACAAATGCGTGTTAAAATGAACAGATTCACTGAAATGAATCATACTTGCTAATGTTGCACAGAAGACGGTAGAAGAGTTTACAATACAGTGTGACATTATTAACAACAGAAATATCCCATTTTGTGACATTCAGACTTGCTGGCAGTACATTTAGGAAACAGCGACTGCAAAAATGCCCTAGCCTGCATGCTTTTCATCCTTCTGTGGAACAAAATGAGATTGTGAAAAATGTCTCAATGTTTTTGTCTATGCTGTACAATGAGGTCCGATGTAGTTTGAGCCTCAGCTTTCTTCCAGATATCTTTCTTTATTTCACATTGCCACGGAGGAATGTTCTTATCTTACTCTCTGGACAGTGGTGATGGATGAATTTAGTTCTATCTCTGAAATGATTGTGACCGCGGTTGCACTTTCTTTCCAATTGTTTGCAAACAGCGTCTGTTGTCCCATCACACTTCTTGCCTGTAGTCAAGGTTGTAGCAGAGCTTGTACAACCCCAATTATGTAAGTTGGGATATTTCGCAAAAAGGCAGAAAATCAATGTGAGTTCAGGAAAGTTATATTCTGATCAACTCTGATCCTGGATTTCCCTTTAATAGACATTTTTTGCAAACTTTTACAAATTGATGTTTTAGCTTGGCAAATAAAAAACTCTCTATGTTTTAAAAAGTGATTAGTTAACTTGAATAAAGCGTGTAAACCTGCTGCATTAAAAAAAGCAGACTTTACTAAAAAAGGGGGTAAAGCTGTTATAGCCTGGAAATATTGGGTTGATTTAAATGCATTTTTACAATTATGAACATAGTTAATTACTTCATAAAGTTAAGGCAATGAGTTTACTCTTTTTATTTAAATTTTTTTTTAAAGTAAAGTCAATTAATCACTTTGAAAATTTGACAATTTGTTTACTCACTTATGCGTAGTATTCTAACATTAACATTCTAACAATTCAGGACTTTTTGATTTAGTGACAAATTTCTATATTTTAGTGATTTGCTCATCCCCCAATGATGGTTGGGTTAATGGGTGAAGTTTGGGGACATGCCTTGTTTTAAAACTCATAAGATTTGGAAAACCTTTACGATCACAATTTTCATTTTTGGGGGAAACTATTCCTTTAATAAGGCAAGTCGTTGGACAACAGTGGATTTTATTGTGTAGTCAAAATTGAAAAAAGGGGGGCTAATAATATCGACAGCAGTATTTATTTATTTTTTATATATTTATTTTTATTTCAGCAAAACTAAAGAAAATAAGACATTCTCCAGAGGACAAATATATAGGTGACACTGTAAAAAAAAAAGTATTATGTTAAGCATCACATGGGAAATATTTGAAAAAGAATTTTACAAAGTTCACATAGTTTTGTCTTTAACTCTATAAGCAAATCATATTTGGATTTCGATGCCATCAGCCACAATAAAAAAAATAAAAAAAATAAAAAACAGGTGTTATGGCCAATTCGCTTCTGACCATACCATAAAAGATATCAGATACAGAAAGGTATATGAAATAAACATTCATTAAAGTTAATAACAAAATATAACAAACTGTCTTGAGATTTGAAAAAAAAAAAAGGAAATCAATGTGATGTTCTATAACACAAAAACATAAGACGGCAAAACAAAAGAGTTTGACAAAATTACCTCTCTGAGGAATAACGGTCCACCAGAAGTGCTGTTCTTCACAAAAATTATATATATATATATATCGTCCAGCCTCTTCACTCTTGTGTATTACTCCACCCACATACAGCAATAAGCAGAGGACACTCTACAGTTTGACAAATATTGCTGTTGTTGGGCAACATAATGTACTATTGAGGCTTTTAGTCAAGAATGTAGTTGTTTAGATTGCAACTATGCAGTTTATTTATAAGGATAGTGCCTACTTTTAAATATTTATAATCTCTGAGAGACACCATGTCAGTAGCCATTAGCCTGTCTTTGAGCAAAGATGGTTAACAATGTTCATCCACAAGATGGCGACAGAGACCGCATAATAAACCCTAAGAGAAAAATAGCGTAATTTCAATCTACAGCTGATCAAATCATTATTATACAGGTAAATGATTTTCTAAGTCGATCTCTCTCTTTTGTTTGTTGAAGTGCAGTATTTATACCATAGTAATTTTGTGATCTCCCGATTGCAGCATAGAAATATAGCAAAATCTCTGTAGACTAATGGCATTTCATGCTGTTCAGCCTAA